CTGGATTGGGATTACATTATATGTGTAAATTGCTTTGGGCAGTATTGACATTTTCACAATGTTAAGTCTTCCTATCCAGGAGCATGATAAATTCTTCCATTTTTGTAGGTCTCTTTTGGTTTCTTGCGATAGTGTTTTGTCATTTTCTTTGTATAGGTCCTTTGTTTCTCTGGTTACATTTATTTCAAGCTATTTCATCCTTTGGGTGGCTATTTTAAATGGTATTGCTTTCCTAACGTCCTTTTCAATGCTGTCGTTTTTGGTATAGAAGAATCCAACTGATTTTTGTATGTTGATCTTATATCCTGCCACGGTGCTGAATCTTCCAATGAGGTCTAGTAGATATTTTACTGAGTTTTTGGGGTTTTCTACGTTTAGGATCGTATTGTCTGCAAATAGAGTTTTACTTCCCCTTTGCCAATTTGGATGCCTTTAATTTCCCTGTCTTGCTATATAGCTCTTGCTAAGACTTCCAGCATGGAACTCTACTATATTCATTCCCTCTATGAGTATAGGGTCGCTGTGGGTCGAATAGACTCAATGGCACTTAACAATAACAACAGTGAGTATTATTATTATTCCCTGTGCTGTGTGCTAAGCACATCTTTGCTGTGAATGGAATTTCATTACTCTTCGTTAGTAATGTGAGGGTGTGTGGGTGCTGCAAAAGGACTTGACAAATATTCTCATCCCTCCAGTCTCAGCTCGAGAGTCAAACCATTGGGGAGTAGGCTGAGTGAATTCCTAGGCTCACTCTGGTGTGAGACAACATGAACATTGGCTTTGTTTAGTTCTTCCGTGGGAGATCTGCTTCTCTTTTATGCTGGATTACACAGATGCTACTGCAACTTTAGATTGTACCTATAACTGTTCTTATTGAAATGGCCCTGGGTCTGGAAATAACCAGCTATTTTTAATCTTGTCAACATGTAGCTCTGTGAAGTATGTTGTAAAGACTGTAAAACAAGGATATTGTTGCCTGCCTAAAAGACTTTGTTGGGAGTTGCTCCAGAAAGCATTTGAGACATAAAATGTGCATTTACCAGTGGGAGATTAAAAAAAAAAAAGTGTATGGACTGAATTTCAGGGAGTTTATATAAATAATACTCATACTCATAACACTATATTGAACTAGTAAGTCTTCATCCTCTATATTATAGATCCCAGGCTTAAGATTGTGCATAAAGGAGCTCCTATAACCCAGCCTCAGACTGCATTTCCAGCCTCAGCTTTTCCTATAACATATTACACTCTGTGTTCTAATAAAACTATGAGCTGTAACCTTTATCAATGTCCATTAAGGTACTCATACCTTTGCTAATATTGTTCTCCCCATTTTGCATGTTGATTCCAGCTCACAGCAACACCATAAGCAACAGTATTCCCTCTTCTGTCCTTCCATAGATATCTTAATCCTCTTCTTGGCATGTATATGCTTTTACTCTTGTTTTCATTGCGGAGCAGAGTCAAATTGTTATTCATCACTCTGTAGTCACAGTGCATTGCGTACATATATAGTAACTACTAAACACTTAACTGCGGGTAAAGCAGTTGGGGGCAGACTGAGCCTGATGTCTGCCTGCCTGCTGTCTAACATCATTCTGCTGATGACCGTTTTATCATTGTCAGTTAAGACAAATTGTACTTTAATGAAAAAAACTAAATCAGAATCACTGAACTTTAGAAAGTATTAAAATTAAATCATGTACAGAACTTACAAATTACAATACATTAGGGCTCATCCCTAACCGAACCTACTGAACTTACAGATAGGGCCTACATGTACTATTTTTTCTTAGGTGATATAGCCAACTTTTTGTCTAAGGTGATATAGCCAACTTTAGGAAATGCTAGAATTGAATGTCCTCAGATTTAGTTTGACTTATATCTCATAAACTTAATTCTCACTCATATGGATCATATACCAACATGCAGAGAAATCATCAGTGGTGCTTGGATAGCCTGATAAGAATTTTAGAAATTCTGGTTAACAGTAACAACCCATGAAAGTATGTCGGTGACCCTGGAACTGTAGGGTCACTGGGGTGTGTTCATTCTCTGCTAATATCTTTTTCCTTTCTCTCTGTACTTATAGGACATAGCTCGCATTTTGCAAGAAAAGGAATTGCAGGAAGAAAAAAGGCGAAAGAAACACTTTCCAGAATCCTCTGGAGCCAGTGCTTATGGAGATAGTTACTATTATGAAGATGGAGGTAATAATTACTATGTCATAACCTATTCTATCCATAGACTCAACTGCAAGACACCCCTTTTAAGTTTGTCCATAAAGCATATCTGGGAAATTTTCTCCTGTTCAAAGGCACAGGATTCATTAATATTGATGGCTGGATTTTAACAAATTTATCTGTTTTGTGCAAAACCAGCTCCGGCTGTTAAAACTTGAATAGTTTTGTAATCCTTGGCTTGCATTCTTGTGTGCAATAGCCTCTCAGAATGCTGCATTACATGCTGAGCACATAAAATGGGGTGTGCAGGACTTTGAACTAGTTTAAAATGGTTCATTCATGTCCGAAGGGGTGCATGTGTTCAATAGCAACTACGTCTCTTGTGCACAGGATTTTGATTAGGAAAACAGGCAGCATTTCCCCGTGAAAAGATGGTGGTCAACTATGTCATTTTGAATGTGTGTCGGTTGCCAACTTTGAATAGGATATCATTGCCAATTTCCTATTCTAGTCAAAATCCCACGTGCAAGAGATTTGATTGTTGGGTAATGCATACACTCCATTGACCATGACTGAACAGTTTCAACCGGTTTGAAGCACTGGCAAAATGTTGGATGAGTCTTTGGACTTTTTTCCAGTGAAATCTGAGCAGTGCTGTTTGAAGCAACAATGTATCATTAATAAAGAAGGTACACCATGCATCAGTTGCTGGGTAACAAAGCTTTTTCTATGCTTCTGTTTCCAATCTACACCAATGGTTTGTGATTTCCAGTTAATTCTTTGCTGTTAATGCTTTTTTTTGCTATTTGATTACAATATAGAATAATTTCTAATTGAGGCAGATAAATTTTTTTAAAGCTTGGCTTCTCTGGTGCCTGCTTTTGCACTGTGGTGATGGTATGGTGGCTGCAGGCTGCAGTTGTATTATATATAATTCTTTACCTTAAAAGTGTGTTGGGAAAGGAGTAGTTTTCAGTCCTTTTCAAAGGTCTCTCAAAGGAAACACATTTGCACAATTCCTAGTGTCAGTATTTACTGAAGACCAGACTTAGGATAAGTGAATAAAACCTAGAGGCAGCTTCTAGAGAATAAATATTTTAAGGCCAAAGATTTCCAAGGTCCTTACAAACTAGTTACCAGTTCCTTCTTTTTAACCCCATTATAAAAAGATAAGTAGGTGCTTCACTCTGGTGAGTAGAATGAAAAGAATGCATATGTAGATGATAATATCATACTAGCTCGGTCACATTGCTTTTCTAAATTTATTATAATCAGTACAGCTTAGCTCTATGATCCATTTAATAAGGAGGTTAATTCACTCTTTATTGCTTACTTTGTTCTTCTACATTTAAAATGCTTAGCTCTTTTGTTAGCCATCTTCCTTACAATGCTTTTTCTGATGAAATCATGTATTATATCACTTAAAAAGATAAATTATTGCCATAGTTTGTGGTACTCGAGACCAGAAGGTAAGTAGTTATCTTTTGGCTTTAATTAAAATCTTAGAGAGGTAGCTTTTGCTTTTTGTGTATATTTAATATGGCCTTGAAGGCAAATTCATTGCAAAAAAGGAACTAGTTTAAACCTATTTTTAAAAAGTATTACGATTGTAAGTATTAAGTTTATGAAATACTAATATTAGCCTTTCTCTGTTAAATCTTTATATTAGCTTGTTGGTTGGTACCAAACCTGGTTATTTTGACCAGTGGTGTAGTAGCTACCTGATTTGCACAGACTATGCTGAAACTACAGTGGTTTTTCAAAGGCACCTCAAAGTTTAAAAAAATCTAGTTTGTATTAATTTTACTTACTTTCGTAAACTTGTTGTTGTTATGTGCCATGGAGTCAGTTCCTACTCAAAGCAACCCTGTAGAGGGTTTCCAAGCCTTGTAAATCTTTACGGGAGCAGAAAGCCTCATCTTTCTCCTGTGAATCAGCTGGTACTTTCGAACTGCTGACCATGAAATTAGCAGCCCGATTCGTAACCACTATGCTGCCAGAGCTCTTTTTGTAAACTTGTAGAAAGTGGAATATTTGCTTACTTTTTTAGAGTTGAGTGTGGGGAGATATTGAAGTAATGATCTTCCTAAGCATGTACATATAAGAATTGAAGTTCCTCTCACCTCTGCTTTATTGTTATTGGAAGATTATATATTGCTAAACATGTAAACTTCTTTTATATGCTTTCTCGTTAGACATAAATTTCACAGAAACTGCATTACAATTCAGCTGATACTTATAAAGCAATCTTTATATTCTTTGCCATGGTCCTTTCCCAACACATCTGGGATATTCTTTCATTATTATATTTGAATGTAACATGATTTCGCCTTACTTTCAAAATAATCATAGTTTATCATTACAGATATGCTCTTGTTTTAAACTTATATTTAATCTTTAGTAAATTAAACCTAAAATGATCATGTATAGATTTTATACTACAAACTTGGAATGATCCTGAAACAAAATCTATATAGAATGAAATTCTATGGCTGTTCATTTGTGAGTCCATGTTTTTCTTTCAAAGTCACATGTTTTACAGATGTGTGTATACATATAATACATGTACATATATACATATATGTATACACACATATTACTTATTATATATATAAAGCCATGTGATGTGTGCAGTTATAATATCTGGGTTCACATTTTATCTTTTCCTTAAGACAGGAATTTTAAATAAGCTTTCTACTATAATCTCTCTAAGCCTATGTTTTCATTTGAAAAATGGGAGATTCTAAAATCACATCCTTTACACAGTTGTTGAAAAGATCCAATAATGTCATTTTGGTGAAAGATAAACTGTAAAATACTATTATTTGTACAAGGATAAGTCAAAAAAGTATTGCTACAAGCCCATAGAAACCTTTATTAAACAAAAAGTCAAAATGTGAAAGTTGTTTCTATACGTACACTTCATCAAGGTCTATATACTTCTGAAGGCTATATTTCCTTCTCTCTAACCCTTCCATTTGAGAGATATCATTGCTGATAACTGATGGATCTTGGCTTAAAGCAGAGAATATCAGAAAGATGTTTACCTATGCTTTATTGACTACGCAAAGGCTTTCGATTGTGTGGATCATGACAAGCTATGGACAACATTAAGTATAGTATTCCTTAACACTTAATTGTACTCATGAGGAATCTGTACCTGGACCAAGAAGCAGTTGTCCGAACAGAACATGAGAACACTGAATGGTTTAAAATTAAGAAAGGTGTGTGACAAGGTTGTATTCTTTCACCATATGTATTCAACCTGTATGCTGAGCAAATAATCTGAGAAGCTGGGTTCTGTGAAGAAAAACGTGGCATCAGGATTGAAGGAAGACTCGTTAACAACCTGCAATATGCAGATGATACAACCTTGCTTGCTGAAAATGAAGAGGACTTAAAACACTTACTGATGAAGATCAAAGAGCACAGTCTTCAGCATGGATTACATCTCAATGTCAAGAAAACAAAAATCCTCACCACTGGACCATTTAACAACATTCCTACCAATGGAGAAATGATTGAAGTTGTCAAGGACTTCATTCTTCTTGGATCAACTATCAACACTCACGGAAGCAACTAACAAGAGATCAGATGACATATTGCATTTGGCAAATCTGCTTCACAAGACCTTTTTAAAGTGTTGAAGAGCAAAGATATCAGCTTGAGGACTAAGGTGAGCCTGACTCAGGCCATGGTATTTTCAGTAACCACATAAGCATGCGAAAGTTGGACAGTGAATAAGGAAGACCATAGAAGAATTGATGCCTTTGAGTTATGGTGTTGGAGGAGAATACTAAAAGTGCCATGGGCTGCCAAAAGAACCAATAGATCTGTTTTGGAAGAAGTGCAGCCAGAGTGCTCCTTAGAGGCCAAGATGGCCAAACTTCGTCTCTCATACTTTGGACATAATGTCAGGAGGGACCAGACGTTGGAGAAGGATATCATGTTTTGTAAGATGGAGGGTCAGAGAAAAAGAGGAAGACCCCCAGCGAGATGGATTGGCCAGGTGGCAGCATCGATGGACTCCAGTGTGGCAACAGTAGTGGGGTTGGCTCAGGATCGGACATTGTTTTGTTCTGCTGTGCATAAGGTTGCTATGAGTCGGTGCCAATTCAATGACACCTAACAACAACAACAAAGCATTCCATGGGAGTCCTGGTGTAGTGCTATATGGTAAGCTCTGGACTGCTAACCAAAAGGGCCAGTGGTTCAAATGTACCAACCACTCCTTGGAAACACTGTCTATACAAGGTTTCTGTGACTTGGAATAGATTCGATGACACTTAACAACAGCAACAGCCTTTTTTCTGTTGCAGCACTTTAGGAGAATCATTGATTGCTAACTGCAAGGTTGACAGTAAAATCCACCAGCCACTCTAGGAAACCCTACACAGTGTTGCTATGAGTCAGAATTGACTCGACGACACACAGTAGCAACAACAACAACCTTTCCAGGAGTATTCTTTACTTTTCCATTCACACCATGACAAAATGACTGTTTGGGCATCTTTGAGGGACTTAAATCGTGTTTTTTTTTAGATGGTTTTAGTTTTTTGTTTTTTTGTTTTTTTAGATGGTTTTTAGTTTTTAAATGGAAGAAAATGAAATTTGAAGGGCAAGACCAGTGCTGTAGGGTAGATAGGGAAAGGGTTTTCAGTAAAAATCTCATAGGGCTGACCTTTGATACTCTTGGAAGACTGAGTAGGTACATTGTGTTGAAAAATAATTCTCAGGACAATTTTCCTGGCCTTTTTCTCATTGATGCAGTTTTTAATTTTCTTAAAATTTCTTCGTTATAAGCTTCCGTGATTATCCTGTGTCCTTTGAGAAAATCTATAAAGAAGACCCCTTTGGAATTCCCAGAAACAGTCGTCATCTCCGCCTTAAACATAGCTGGTCCACCAGATCCCCTTGGAAGCCACTGTTTTGATTGACTGTTGTGTTGGAAAGCACCCAAAGGAGTCTAAGGCAGTTGCATTATTGAGAGAGCTTATCTGCAGCCATCCACTGATTGCAAAGACATGTTTAAACATGCTTTGATTGGAATGAACCTGTGCCTGTATTGACTGGAATCCGAGTGGCAATACCTTTTCACTTACCTTTGTACATATATTAGTATTGTGCATCTTACAGTAATTTGTATATCTAAAAAATGATTTCATTTTGAAAGACAGACATGGAAATACACAGATAAAATGTATATACTTTTTGGCTCTGGCGGGGAGGAGGGGGGGAGTGTTAATTGTATTTGCCAATTAACTTGATCTTGAGAAGCATACAAGTCTCAGTTCTCAATTGTGATGATAAAATTTTAAGGATTCAAACAGGTGCACTCCACTCTTGCCTTTTTCATCTTTTATAGGTTTAAAAATTAATGTAAGATTATTTAGTTTGTTAGGTGAACTAGATAGTAAATATTTGGTGTTAATTCCTAATTTTTATAGCATATATTCCTTAAGTGAAGCTACTAATATTGTTAGCTATTTAGGAGGAATTAAAAACAAACAAACAAAAACAATCATAGTGCCACAGATCATAGTGTCACAGGTTAGAAACAAATCCGTGGGTTCCTTTTGGCTCTAAAGGAGACATGCATACATTCAAGCAGCTCCCTGTGTGTATATTGGTGTTGACACTGTAAACCAGTGTTTCCTGGCTGTGGCCCCTCATTCAAGTAACTTGTCAATATATGTATTCACAGTAATTGACACTTCATTTTTTTCTCAATTTTCAAAAGACACTTAAAATAATAATTTGGTTTAAAGAACGGGTAACTGTCTTATCAAGAGAGTAATTGTTCTGTTTCATGTTCTTTTCCATAAAACCATAAATTGTAAAGCTAATACTTTTACAGACTGTTTAGAAGAAAGATTTTAATTTACATGCTATCTTTGGTAATACATTTTTCTGGAAGAAAATTCAAGAGGAAACAATTACATGTTTTGAATTAATGCTGACTAGCATTCATAATGCATTTAGTCCATATTGCCCTCTTGCTCTTTCTCTTTATCAGACTAACAATAGTATCAAACTCAACAATTAAAAATGTCCTAAAAATGAATAGATTGTATGCTCCTCTATCTTTTCTGGGATCCCGTTGGTGCTATACAATAAGCGCTGTACTACGAACCACAAGGTCACTGGTTCGAGACCACTAGTCATTCTTCACAAAAATGAAGCTTTGTGCTTCCACTAAGATTTACAGCCTCAGAAACCCTGTGCAGGGTGGCTATGAGTTGGAACCAACTTGACGGCACTTAATAACAACAACAACAACTATCTTTTCTACATCAAATTATGGTGACTGTTTCAAATATAAATCAGCAAGTGATTTGTTCTAGCAGGAGACATATGTAGGTAGCAATTTCAGCAATTTTCCATGGATTAGGAATGTGTTTCTAAAATGTAGTTATAGTCTTATAAATATATATATTAAAATAAGTGTACTTTTGCCAAGTGCATTTTATTTTGCTCCTGTGTTCTATATAAGTATATATATAAATGAGACCTGCCAAAATCACTTACCACTGTGCTGTTTTTTGATGTTTCTTTTAAACGTGAGAATTTATATAATTGGCATATACTAGTGCTGCACGATAATGCACTGGACTGAAAGATCAGTCTGAACTTCAAGGTGGGCAATTCAAACCCCCGAGCTAATCCTCAGAAACCCTATACAGGATTGCTGTGGGTTGTAATCGACTCAAGGGCACTTAACAACAACAGCAATCTCTGTTCAATGAATACAATATCATTAAGTTTTTTTGAATTTTAAGTAGACTCTCACCCCCTTCTTCCCTATTATGTAGCATTTCCTTTTTTCTTTTGCTAAATTGTAATTACGATTAGGAGCACAGTTAAGTAAAGATCATAGATTATTTGCTCCTGTAAAATCCTCCTTTACTCCATCCCCTTCCATACTGAACTGTAATGTAGGGTTGTTCTTTGATGTGCTTGGCAGTGTTTGTTTAGAGTAATCTATGGATTATTTTTTTGAACTAAATGGAAATTAGCAGCATTCTCTAAAGTATATAAAGTTTTGCTGTTAATTACTGCCAGTAAGTTTTTGTAAAACTTTTGCCCTATATTACACAGCTTGATTTTTGTCCATTTTACTACCTCTTCAACCTCCACTTTTCTAACGCTCCACCTGTTCCAAATTGGTTTTATAAGTAGAATTTAACATTCAGTGAATATAGTTACTGTTATTGGCAAATATTAAAAATCTATGTGATGTTACCTAATTATGGTCAGGTTCTTTCAAATTTATGCTATTTTGCTTAATTTTATTTTAGTTTTTTACCTTTTTGCTCTTGCATCCAGAATCCATCATGCATGCATGGACCATTCTAGTATATACTCATGCCCACTTCTCATCTTGTTAAGTTGAAAAGACAGTTTTCTCTGTTTTGAAATGCACTAAACATGGGCCTTGTCTCTCTCATTAGTCTTGAGGTCATACTCTCATCAAGTTAACTTGCATTTTTATTTTTTACATCCCTCCATCTCCACTCAGACCAGCCAAGGTCAAGGAGGGCCAGGGAATTGGGTTCTGAATTCTGGAGGACTTGTAGAGTCAAACATGATGAGACGCCTGTGAAGCAGAGGAAGGAGAAACCAAAAATCCCACTGGATAGCTTGGAAGAACTGGAAAATTGTTCACCAGAACAATTCCCCTCATCCTGTCACTGGAGCAAAACGAGGGACAGTCCACAAGTTCACACTGAGCAGCATGAAAAGAAACGGTGCGGACGTGAGAGGCTCCAGAGGTCTCCACTTCCCAGTATTAGTGGAGAGGTGTTTCTGAACATTGAAGCTGATGACGGGGAAGATAACAGGAAACATCGAACTCGGAATTGGGAAAAACCATGCCAACACCAAGACCGACTTTCACCAAAGACCTCACAGAAAGCTGGGTTTCACTGCAAGGAAGTTGTCTATGGGAGGGATAATGGGCAGGGTGAGCACAGAGAAAGGAGACGCAGGCCAAGGACTCCTCCCTTTTCGGAGAGTGAGAAGCGATTCCACCACAATGACCCAGGTAATAAAGGACAGTTTCATTGGAAGCCCTCGTACAGATGAATGTATTTATTGAGGGTCTTAGGTAACCTGTTCTTCATCACTTAGGCTCATGGCTTTGAAATAAATCCTGGAGACAAATATTACAGAAAAAATGTCCATCTTAGCTCTGTAGGAAGAAGGAAAATCTGCTTTCCTTGAAAGGTTTTTCTAATCCTGGATAGTGCAGTGAAGTTGCCAGTTGTTCAGCTGTGAAGATCTTGAATCAGAGATTCTGATACCAAATCAAAGCACTACTTAAATTTCTGGTTTTACTTAAGCGAACCTACAAGATCTCTGATGTTTACCTAAGTAGAAGGCCAGCTAGGTTGGAAGTACTAGATTTCCTTGGCCTTATTTTTGCCCTTCTACAAAATGGGGGATTGGATTCTTTGAGGTAGCATTTCTCAGATTGTGGACTTTTCAGTCTATTGTCATCAAATTAATTTGGCCATTTGATGTAAAAGCACATTTATAAGTCTCATCTATGTATTTATTGAGTTATCCTCTCCGGTAGGGGCCTAGATATTTGGGAAGATTTTAGATCCAGAGTTAATCCCTGTAGACTTCAAAGTTTGAAGTTGCCTTAAGTAATTTTTTTGCTCTTTCTCCACCTCTCACTCTACAGTTGTTGTTCTGAAGTACCAGTTCCAGGTAAGTTCTTGGTACCTACGCAGGAATGAGGTGAATATTACAGTTAAGCCTCACATTCCTGGCATCTCTGAGGCTTAATTCTGAAGTCCATCATTGACACAGCAATGACTCTGTTCTTGTCTGACAAAGGCTGTGGTGACGTTTTCCATGTGGCGATTACAGTAGAAGTCAGAGCATCATACTATGTAATATTTTTATTAGACCATGCTTATCTTCTAGTTCCATTTTACGCCTATTGAAATTGTACAGGGACGCAAGGATTACTGGTAAAGGAGGATCTAGGAGGTACCTATTATTTTTTCGTCTTATTTGCCCAGTCAAGCTCCGTGTCTGGTCTGAAGAGGGATTTCTAAGTTTCAGACCTAAGTTGAATTCATCCTATCACTTTATGTTTCATTAAGGGAATTGGTTATAGAGAAGTTCAAGAAGCCTTACTGAATATCTACTATAAATATTCTTGCCTCAGGCTTTATACCTGGATCTGAACCTCAGGGTTAATAGTTAAGCCAAAATGACTGATAGGAAAACTAACGATTGCAAATTAGATGTGCTCTGTTAGTGAGACAAGGGCAGAGAGTTGTGAGCAATTGGAGGAGTGAGAAGTAAAATCTACCTGGAGTGGACTTCACTCAAGGAGGTTACAATATCTCTGGGTGTAGAAAGACAAGGAGTAATGATAACATTGAACTCTACATTCTGATTCTGAGTCTGAGGACTGGCTTACCTTTATGGCTTTTAGTTATACCTCAGGGTGTGTTTAATAGGCTTCAGTAACTTGACCGTAACATTAACTCACAAGCTGTAGATTGGGGTCACAGGCAAATGCTTTTCTCTTGTATTTTACCTGCAAAAAGGCTCTGTCGGTTTGAAAACGGCTACTATGTAAGCTGCTTAGTGCCTGTCATTTATTTACATAGTTTACCTCCCCATACACTGTAGGCATTTGATTTTAGGACCCCCTGGAGTAGGTCAGAGAACTACATGAAATTATTATTGCTAGGTATCAGTATTAAGCCTTGCTATTATAAAAGCATGGTTCTTAAAGTTGGCTATCATAGACCAAAGTTCTAATTAATTCAATAATGAAGAAAAAGCAGGACAGCAAAGAACTGATTTTGAGCATTTGCAGAATAGGATTTGACTCCTCATCTGAAAAAAGAACTGCAAAATAAAATGTCTAAGTAAAACAAAGATTAGTTAACTTTCTCTGGAGCAATAAACCCATACCACCTTTGAGAGTACTTCTGTACTGAGCTGTAAAATCATAATGGTTTATCATTTTCTGTTGGTTAATGTCTCACTTCTCAGGGTCATAAAATATTCACATGTTGCAGCTTTGAGTTGTTAGTTGAATATACTAAGACATCTCCCAAGAGTGTCCAACAAGTTTATTATAAAATGCTATTGCATGATTTCAAAGAATCAAACAGTCAATATTTTACTTTTTACCTTTTTCCAAGCTAACTATAAATATTTCTTACATCAGTACTTTTAATTATTTTATCTTATTCAATTAGAATGTATTTAAGAGGGAAAGCTTTATTTGTGCTCATAAGAGCGGTTCTTATGCTCTCAAACTGTAGAATGCTAGAGACAAGGAAGAATTAGATTAAGAAATGAATGTAGAACTGTTGAAAATATGACTCACCTGATAGTTTAACAACTGGTTTCCAGATTCTGTTTAGACTAGGCTACCAAGATGAGGACAACCATTCTGTTGATTTCCTTCTTTCTATTAACTTTATTTGTCTTTTAAAGCATCTTCAGTTTTCTGTAATGACAGCCTTACACTGCCCTAGATGCAATTTCTTCTAAAATATTTATTAAAAATCTCTTATCGCCAATGATAAAGGCTATACTGTAATAAGTGGGGAGTCTTGCTGGTTCAGAAATCCAGTATCTCAGGGTGTAGTGATTCTGTTTGATAAATTTGAAACAGAACATTTTCTCAGATCTGTAACATAGAGTTGGAAGTATAATGTGGAGAAAGTTTGGTATCTTGAAGTCTGAGCACATCTCTCTATAATGTTTCCCACTGAATCGCAAAATTGAAAGAATTGTGCATAAGTGGAACTTTCCCATCATCCATCTTCAGCTGGTCTTTGGACCACTCACTTAAACATGTTTTTGTTACTGATAATACTAGAATCCTAACTTATCCACTGAGCTTGCCTAGAACTAATTTCCTTAATTTCATTTAATTTTCTGAAATCTGTCTTTCTAGTTTTGACCAAGCTAATTATAACTCAAGAAGGTTGATATATTCCAAAAATGTCCACGTGTGAGAGTATATCCCTATTTTCTTAAACCCCAAGCCACTCAGAAATCTGGGTCAAAACTAGCTTAGCCCACCATAAGTTTCAATAGTTTAAGCGGTATGTTGTCGTTGTTAGGTGCCATCGAGTCGGTTCCAACTCATATTGACCCAGTATAAGGTTTCCTAGGAGCAACTTGTGAGCTTGAACCTCTAACCTTGCAGTTCAAACGGCTTTGCAGTCTGGCGCATTAACCCACAGCGCTACACCAGGACTCCTTTAGTATATTGTTGTTGTTAAGTGCCGTTGAGTTGGTTCCAACCCATAGCGACCCTGTATAGGGTTTCTGAGCTGATGCTGGTGAGCTTGAACCTCTGACCTTGCAATTCAAATGGAGTCCTGGTGTGGCGCATTAATCCACAGCGCTACACTAGGACTCCCCTTTAGCATATAGTCAGGTGCAAGTAGAATTTAAGATTAGAAAGTGAGATCTAAAACTCTTTATTTATGGGAAAGACATGTATGAGTCTGTGGCTTTTGAATTTACTGCATAGCTAGTTTGGAAGGTCTACATATGTAGATTTCACAAAGATAACTTGAACAGGCTGTCCTTGCCTAGAATTCAGTTAGATTTCCTTTTTGTTTCATTATTGAATCAAACATGGTGAGGCATCGAGATACAAATATTTTTAACATTGATGGATATAATAGTACACTAGTGAATCCAACCCTAACTACAAGTAAGAGTCAACTGTGAAGACTAAAAAAAAATAATAAAAGAACTACCAAAAAATGGGGGTCTTACCCAGTTACTAAAATTAAAATTTCTGGGAGCTGAGTCAAATATTTTTTGTATTTATTTTACTATAGTTGGTCCTTGGTTAACCTGGGTTTGAACTATGTGGACCCATTTATGTGTGAATTTTTTTCTTGCCACTTTGGTGGTATTGCTCAAGTGCTGAGTGTATCCTAACTAGTCAGTTTCAGTTACTGAAGAGACAACTGCTCATGAGGAGATGATTAGCGTCACATGGATTTTTAAGTAGATACTTGCAATGAGTGCACTCATCGCCATAGCAACAGGGAAAGATGGCTTTTTAAAAATCCACATATACGTGGTCCTGAGCCCTGTATGCAAATGCTTGGTGTTCAAGGGTCAAAGAAAAATTATAAGTAGATTTTCAAGGTTGTCACCTCTAATTTGATTGCTGCTCAGAAGTCAGCTGTGTGTAGCCATGTTTTAAAAATCACTGATCTAAGAGAACCGGCAATTAGATATTTTTCCTCCCCTTAGTAATCCATTTACTTAAAAGTCTCTAGATTGGTAATCTTGGTCACTGCATTAAAAGGTTCATTATTTCTAGATAAAGTAATACATTCATACTTCAGAATAATTGCAATTTATAAAAGGGTGCAAAGAGAAAGAGGCATTCCACAGTTGTGAAATAACCATTAGCATTTGCCATTTAGTTATAACTTATAAGTTATAAAAAGGAATAGATGATGCTTATCAAATTTTGGCCAGGATTTTCTACTAGCTCCTCATGTTCTGTCTCTCCAAAGGAATAGAAGTCTAGGGCTATTGTTTCTTTGATACTTCTCTTCTTCTGTAACTTCCTAAAATTTAGCAAGAACATGAAATTGATCAAAGCCACAGGAAAGATCTAAAAGCAAGTGAGCTTATTTTTCTCAGGGCAGAAGCCAGGAAAGGTGCACTGAGTGGCTGAAAGGGACAAATGCAGCCCTGTTGACCAAGTTGTTTTTGTTTTTTTAATTCTGTCAGGTCTGTTTTTTGCTCCCTCCTTCCTTCTTTCCCATTAATAGTGTCCTTTGTAAGACTGACAGGGCATTTGTTCAGATTAAAAGAGGGTCTATTTAGAACAAAAGAAAGAAACCTTCCCTACACCCTTTGGGCTTACCTCTATGGGAGAGAGATGAGACTTTCTGCTTCTGAAGCGATTTAAAGCTTTGGATACTCTATACAGGGTTGCTATGTGTCGGAACTGACTCATTGGCATACAGCAACAACACGTGGAATGAGCTACTCAAAGCACTTATGATGGCTAGTTTTGATGTTAAATATTCATATTTATTACATCACAAATACACCTTATGTGCTAATTTAGAAATATTAGCTCTGACTTGAACCTTTTTCTGTGTTTGAAGCATACTGTTTCACCTGTGACTGAATCACACAACTCACAGGGTTGTGACTGTTTCTTTTCCCTCGAGTGAGGTGTATAAAACTGAATTGAACAGAAGAAAAACCTCTCATCTCAGGTCTTGACATCTGAGCCCCTTTAATACTCAGACTCTAACTTTATTTTCTCTAAATGTTGCTCCTGCAGTAATATATATATTTTTTTCTCCCTTCCTTCATGCAAGACCTCAGTTTTTCCTTTTTTTCTTCCTTCATGCAAGGCCTCAGTCCTTGCATGAATTTTGCCACTGAAGAAACTGTGAGAGGGGAATTTTTATTAGGCAGGTCTAACTTAAAGGTATTAATTATCTACATCACCATCCCTGTGAATGGGAGGAAATATTTCAGTGTACTCCACACTGAAATCATCATTCTGAAGTAGAGGAAGTATTCCTAGTGTTAGATAGTAAAGAACATATTTATCCTAAATTTTGCAACTTTCTAGAAAAAGCCTTCAGTTGCCTCATCAAATTGAGTTTTTTCCAGGAACAAAACCGAGAGGAGTGAAAGAAGCTGTCTCCACGCCATCGCGAGTGACTCACAGGGATCAGGAGTGGTATGATGCAGAAATCGCCAGAAAGCTGCAAGAAGAAGAACTCCTGGTGAGCATGTTTTAAAGACAAAAGTTCAAGTGAATCAGTAGGGTTTGGTTTATTTGTTTTTAAATGGAGTAAATCTTAAGATAGTTGAGGAACTTATAATGTTTTTAGTGGGTGGAAAAATCAAGGTAAAGAGAATAGAGTGAGTGTCCAGTTTTACTTGTTAAAAGAAGCATTTACAACAGAACTGTACTATGGCTGTCTGTCTCTCTCTTTGCTATTCTCCAAGAACCTGTGGGTGGTGGTTGTGCTGTTAGATGCTGTCGAGATGGTTCCCACTCCTAGTGACCCTGTGCACAACAAAATGAAGCACTGTCCATTCCTGCACATTCTCACAGTCATTGTTATATTTGAGCCCACTGTTGCTGGCCACTGTGTCTATTCATCTTATTGGGGGGGTCTTCCTTTTTTTCACTGACCCTCCGCTTTACCAAGCCTTATGTCTTTTCCTATAGTTGTTGTTCTTATGTGTCGAGGTGTCGGTTCCGACTCATAGCGACCCTGTACAGGGTTTCCGAGGCTGTAAATCTTTACGGGAGCAGAAAGCCTCAGCTTTCTCCCGCGGAACCACTGGTAGTTTAGAACTTCTGACTGTGAGGTTAGCAGCCCAATTAGTTTCCTATGGTAGGGTTTGATAAAAATGGGCTCTGCTGTGGCTGCTGAAAGAATGCCAGATTCAAATGTGTTTGTCACAGCTGATTTTAAAAACCAGTTTGTTTTGATATTTGTTGTTATGTACTGTGGAGTCAGTTCTGACTCATAGCAACCCCGTACAGGGTTTCTGAGGCTATACATCTTTACGGGAGCAGAAAGCCTCAACTTTCTCCCGCGGAACAGCTGGTAGTTTAGAACCACTGACCTTGCAGTTCACAGCCTGATTCGTAACCACTACGCTAGCAGAGCTCCTTTGTTTTGATATGTTGTTGTTGTTTTTAAGTGCCGTCGAGTCGGTTCCGACCCATAGTGACCCTGTACAGGGTTTCCGAGGGTGTAAATCTTTACGGGAGTAGAAAGCCTCATCTTTCTCCTGTGGAGCAGCTGGTAGTTTCGAACCGCTGACCTTAAGGTTCGCAGCTCGATTCGTAACCACTACGCTACCAGAGCTCCTCATTTGTTTTGATATAGGGCTTTTCTTTTTTTAATGGACAGTGGTGGGTCCCAGTAAAATTTCTTAGGTTGTCTTTTCTGTCCCATAGGCTACCCAGGTGGACATGAGAGCAGCTCAAGTAGCCCAGGATGAGGTGAGGTCATAGTTCAAGTATTTGTTTAACCAACATTTTAGGGAAATACCCAGTAATTTCCTACCCACAACTCTGCAATGAATGATACTGACTGGATATTTTTCAGGAAATTGCTCGACTGCTGATGGCTGAGGAGAAGAAAGCTTACAAGAAATCCAAGGACCGGGAGAAATCATCTTTAGACAAAAGGAAGTACGACACCGAGTGCAAGGTAGGTGGGTGGGTTTTGTTCCACTTAGACTTAAAATCAGAAATAAAACCAAGACTATGCTTTTAAGAGAAACTACAAATATATCTAGGGTATAAAAATATCTGTACTGCATATGTGAAGCCTGACATAAAAACTTATTTCATTGAATAATTGAATTTTTGTAACTATCAAAAAAATTACTGTCAAAATTGAAAAAGTAATTCCATTTAAGACCAACTGAGATACACATGCCGCTGGTTATGACCTTCTTTATCTAGTTTTACTATATTTACAGAGTCCTAGTGTGGCATTGTAGTATAAGCACTGAACTACTAACAACAAGGTTGCTGATTCAACCCCACTTGTCGCTCCTTGGAAACCCTATACAGACTCACTGTGAGTCAGAACGGACTCAGTGGCACACAACAACACACATACAGGAGTCGTGGTGTGTGGCATTGTAGGATAAGCACTGGATTGCTAACCACAAGATAGGTGGTTCAAATTCCTGCAGTTAAATTCCACCAGTCACTCCTTGGAAAACCAACAATGGGTTGCTGTGAGTAGGAACTGATTTGATGGCACAACAACATACCTATAGGAATTGTGGTGTGGCATTGTAGGATAAGCACTAGACTGCTAACTTCAAGGATTATGGTTCAAACCCACCATCCACTCCTTGGAAACCCTACATAGGGTTAGGGTTTCTATGAGTCAGAACTGACTTGATGGCACTTTAACAACAGTATACTTACAGTGCAGAAAATGTAGCATTTTCACATGCTTTCAAATAGCCAGTGGTCTTGCCTGCCTCTCTCTGCTTTCTCTATATGCTTATGATGTAAAATACCACCTAGTTCTTTATCCTCTAACATACACAACAGATAGACAGATATACCCATCAACAGGCACTGCTTATATCAGAGTGCAAGAATTGTCTAGCATGTACTTGGACTACTGTCTTTCCCCACATTAATCAAAAATAGTTGACAAAACAGTGACTACAATTCATTCTGCTGTAATCTGATTTTTGCATGTGGTGCTTGCAGTCCATTTAATGGGCTTAACTCATCAATTACCATCCATAAGACACCACTCTGGACGCTAAGAAAACAAAGTACCTTTTCCTGATAATACTGCCTGATGTAGAGAGCAAGACAAGCTGTGTTTCTACTTAAACCAGGTCAGGCAGCTAACAGATACAAGGTCACAACTGGGGTGAAGCATTGTGGAAGAAAAGCAGAGGAGGAAAGAGAGAGAATTCCTGCAGTTAAAGCCTTCTCAGGGAAGACATCTGCACTAGGCCCACAAGGATGCATATAAGTTGTATATTCATGATAAGGTGAAGTTTAGAACTGTTTTCTGCCTTGGACAAATGCTTCCTTTGGGATTCTGGTTCCATTTTATGGTCTGCAGTGGATGTAAGGAAAAAAAGAAGGCGCGAACTGTGGTAATGGTATTTCTCTACTATTTGCTTTTGCTTAGTTATGCACTAGCAATCTCAAGATAAAATTTGTATGTTAATTATGTGCATTTTAGATATCTCTCTTTCATCCTCTTAGTAATTCAGAATTTGTATGTTAATTATGTGCATTTTATATATTTCTCTTTTACCCTCTTAGTAATTCAGAATTTTTCCTGATAGATTTTATTTTAGTAGATGAATTCTCAAATGTGTCTGCTATGTAAATTAACGACTCAGGAGTTACTCACATTCTTAGTTAATTCAACAAAAAAAGATTAGTTATTTTAGAGATTACAAATCAGCAAGTTAAGAGAGATAAGGCCATGTTTCTATCAAGTAATATGACTCTTGGAATTCCATATTCTGGAATTGGTATTGGTACAGTCCCTCTCTTGGAACAGTTAACTTGAGCCGCAGTTTCCTGACTTGAAAATCATCAGCTTTAATTCAGGTGTTATAGAAACAAGTTTGAGAGCACAAACCTAAATTTCATCATTTCTGGGAATCTACCAACCCTAGTCAGCTGCTCCACAGCTGGTAGGTTAATAATGGCAGCCAGGCTTACCCCCATGGGTGAGCATGTCCACGTGTGGTAGCCCACTCACCCGGCTGCACTGATAGTCACACGTGCCTTGGTGGGTATATTTTTTTTCCTGAGTAGCTATATTTAGAAATCTCTTAGTGCTTAACTAAATCTAAGATGTCTGAAATTATTACAAGATATGATTAATATATTTTCTGGATCTTATCGTTCTCTTTATATATTTGCTGTTTATGTTTGAGTGTTTCTTTTATTAATTGTCTCTCCGTAGCCTAAAGCAGCTAAATCAGCCCACCCAAAGTCAAAAGAGAGTGTTGAACCTCACCGTTTTAGGAGTGACAGGCCAGCACGGTAAGCTGACAGCTGAAAAGGAGAATGAGGAACTGGACTTGGGTGAGTGGGGAGGTATCTGTTGTCTGAGAAGAATTTCTATGTGGAAGTGAAGACAAAAATCTGCAACTGTGAGCTGGTATCACATCTTAGAAGTTTATTCTGAATCGTTGTTTCCAGTTTTAAGTTAGGTTGCACAAGTCAAATTCGGACAATCTGAGGAATTTTTCCAGAAGCTGGAATATTTAATAGGGAAGGATGTACTTTTTGTTTGGGTGACAAATCCTTGCCTCTGGATTCATTAAATTGATGTCCTCGGCCATTTTTTGAATAGGTTGTTAAGTTTTACTTAAATTTGTAAGTTTTTAATTTCTATTGGATTTCATGGTCACACTTGTGTGTGCCTGGATTCACATATGCTGAGAGTGCTCAGAGTTATTCTTGTCTGAGTTTTAGTGTCCTAAGCAAATCCTTATTTAAATTGTTACAGACCTTGTAAGCCCCGCTAGAACAAATAGCCGTCACTATAATAAAAGCAGGATTTGACTTCTCCCAAATTGTAGAGCAAATGCTGTTTTTCCACTTCAGGGTGCCAACGTGTGAGTCTCTATAGAAACAACCTTTTGTTGTTGTTGTTGTTGTTGTTAGATTTCGAAAGAAAATGCAACTGGAATAGGAGAGGACACTAAACAGAAAAAGACAAAAGTCACCGTTAATCTTAACAGTATGAACCTAGATTATTAAGAACTTGATTTTCCATCCTTATTAACAAGACACTTACTGATTCTTATAACAGAAGTTTTATCTCAAATAATGTTGACACAATTGTTGCCATTCATTGCTCACATTTAAGCTACTAGACTTGTCTCAATACCATGTTACTGTTGTTGTGAAGTGCCGTTGAGTCAGTTCCAACTCAGAGCAGCCCTGCATATGGTTTCTAAGGAGCAGTTTATGAGTTTGAAGCACCAACCTTGCAGTTCAAATCCACCTTGTACTCAACTTAGTACTTATACTGTAGCACCACACCATGATTCCTTACTGTGTTGTTGTTAGTTGCCATCCCTCCCTTTTTGTACTATGCACAGTAGAACAAAATACTGCCAACCTCACAATCATTGCTACACTTAAGCCCATTGCTGCTGCCATTGTGCCAAGCCATCTTGTTGCGGGGGAGGGGGACATCTTTCTCTTTTTCACTGATGCTTACCAATCATGATGTCCTTCTCCAGGGACTGGCCCCTCCTGATGACATATCTGAATGTGAGAGACAATGTTTCGGCTATCCTGGCTTCTAATAAAGCATTCTGGCTGTACTTCTTCCAACACTTATGGGTTTATTCTTTTGGCAGTCCATGGCACTTTGTGTATTCTTCTCTTTCTATGGTTTTCCTTTCATTATCCAACTTTCACATACATATAATGTAATTGAAAATACCATGGCTTGGGTCAGGCACACCTTAGTCCTCAAACTGACATATTTGCTCTTGAACGTTGTAAAGAGGTCTTGTGCAGCAGATTTGTCTAAAGCAATATGTCCTTTGATGTCTTGACTGCTGCTTCCCAGAGTGTTGATGGTTAGCCCAAGCAAAATGACGTCTTTGACAACTTCAGTCTTTCCTCCATTTAACTTGATGTTATCACGTACTGGTTCAGTAGTAAGAATTACTGTTTTCTTTGCATTGTGGTGCAACATATACCAAAGGCTGTGGTCTTTGACCTACGTCAGTAAGTATTTTAAGCCCTCTTCGCTTTCAGAAAGCGAGGATATATCATCTGCAAGTCGCAGATTGTTAATAAGTCTTCCTCCAATACTGATGTCATGTTTTTCTTTATATAGTCCAGCTTCTCAGATTATTTGCTCAGCATACAGATTGAGTAAGTATAGTGAAAGAATGCAACCTGCCACACACCTTTCCTAATTTTAAACCATTCAATATTCCCTTGTTCTGTTCGAACAACTGCCTGTTGGTCCATGTACAGGTTCCTCATGAGCACAATTAAGTGTTCCGGGATGCTCCTTCTGTGCAATGTTGTCCATAGCTTCTCATGATCCACACAATCAAAAGCCTTTGCGTAGTCACTAAAGCACAGGTAAACATCTTTCTGGTATTCTCTTCTTTCAGATAATAATCCATCTGATGTTAGCAATGACATCCCTCATTCTGTATCCTCATCTGAATCCAGTTTGAACCTGTGGCATTTCCCACTGATACTTTCCAGTGATTTCCACATCCCATTGAGTCACCTCTCTTTGGAACAGGCACAAATATGGATCTCTACCAATCAGTTGGCCAGGAAGCTATCTTCTGACTGTCTTGGCATAGATGAGTGAGTGTCTCCAATGCCAGATCACTTTGTTGAAAGATTTCAGTTTGTATTCTGTCAATACCTGGAGCCTTGTTCTTTGCCAGTACCTTCAGTGCAACTTGGACTCCTTCCTTTATGTTGCTTAAAAAAAGGTATTTTTATGTTGCTTGAAAAAAGGTATTTGCAACAAAGAAGTCATTGGTCTTGTAAAAGTCTGTCATGCGATCTCCTGCATTGTTTCTATCACCAACGCTTTGTTTTTCAATGACTGATTCATGCTGTTTATTTCCAACCTTTCCATTCCAGCCTCTAGTGACTGTCAATACGTCTTGGTTACTTATGTACTAAATTTATATAATAAATTTCTGATTGAAGAAGTTGGTAGAATTCTTCAATTTCATCATCACTGGCTTTAGCAGTTATTGCATAAGTTTGAATATTAACTGGTTGTACTAACTGGTCTTCTTGTAGGCGTATGGATTTTATCCTATTACAGACAGCATTGTACTTAAAGATAGATCTTGAAATGTTCTTTTTGATAATAAATACAACACCATTCCTCTTAAATTTCTCATTCCCATATTGTAAACCATGGGATTGTCAGATTCAAAATGGCCAATACCAGTCTATTTCAGCTCACTAATGCCTAGGATGTCAATGCTTATACGTTACATTTCACATTTGACAATTTCCAATTTTCCTAGTGTCATACTAATTACATTCCATGTTCCAATTATCAGTGGATTTTTACAGCTGTTTCTTGTGATTTTGAGTTGTGCCCCATCAGCAAATAAAGGTCCATTCGCACCAATCACGGTCAACTCTACTTTGAAGAGGCAGCTCTTCCTCACTCTAATTCTGAGTGCCTTCCAACCTGAGGAACTCATCTTCCCGCACTGTAGCTGACAATATTCTGGTGCTCCTTATCATGTTTCAATATTCAATATTCTGGTGCTGACAATGTTCCACTGCTATTCATAAGGTGTTCAGTGACTAAATGTTCATAAGTACTCCATGTCTCCTTCTTCCTAGTCTGTCTTTGTGTGGGAGTTCAACTGAAACCTGTTCAACATGGGTGACCCTTCTGGTATGTAAAATACCCATGGCATATCTCCTAGAATCACAGCAACACCCAAGCCTCCACAGTGGCAAACTTACAGACGAGATTCCTTAGTGTAAATATATTTAAATCCCAAACCTTCTGCCATCAAGTCGATTCTAATTCCTAGCAATCCTGCATAGAGTTTTTAATATTGAATTTTTACAGGAGCATCCATTACCATCTTTCTCCCATGACAAGGCTAGTGGGTTTGAACTTCCTTCCTTGAGATTAGCAGCCCATCACTTATCCCACGATATATATTATGTCTTTAAAAATTAATCCTCTGTTAAACGTATCATCTAGGTTTTCAGAAGGCAGAGAGATAACCTACTAAAAATTAGATCAGGTTTGGATTGCTTGCATACAACTGTATAGAATATGTAGTTGTGTGTAAATTTTATTCTTTTTATAGATATTTGCTAAATACATGCCACATATTTTTTAAGTAAATTTTAGAAATACATAGTTTAGTTTTATTTTCATTCTTGTAATATTTAAATTAATAGTTAAGTGAATTCAAATAATCTTTAGGGTGATTTTGTAATCATCAAAGTACTTGTACATTTTAGATGACCCTTAACAACAACAATAACTGACAGCAGATATAGAAATTTGGGATAGCTAAAGTTGAAAAGGTTATGAAATATAACAGGTCCTCAAAAATATTTGGCATATTGAAGATTTGAATAATCCTATGACTGTCTTTTTAATGGCTGTTATGAATGAAATAGTAAAATATGATTGACAACTGGTCAAATTGAATTTTTTTCTTGATTTGAGAGAAACACTTGTCTTTTAACAATATTTGCAGAGAAATTATATATATGACAAAAGTGAATACTGTTTTCATGAAACATTTTCATTAGTTAAAAATCAAAGTCTTTGAAATTATGGAAATCATACAACTAATAAGAGCATGTATGCTTCTGGTTAGAGTCTATGATTTCCTTCTTCACAGTTCATTATGATGTAGGAGTTTAGTTCTCCGTTTACAGAGGTGATTTTAAAAGGAGAAACGATTTTAAGCATTGAAAAGCATGAAGCTTCTTAGTTCCAGATGTCAGTTCAGTTTTATATCATTGTAGTAGAAGGAAAAGAAATTTCAAGTGAAACTTATAACATTCATAGTAAAAATAAAAAAATCAAATTTGCTAATTTATTATAGTGTTTTCTACTCTTTCCAAAGATAAAGAGAACAAGTTTCAAATCTGAATTAATTCTAAAGCTGTCATTGAAAAAAGTTTCAAAGTAAGTTCCAAATTCTTTTACCTATCGGATTATATATACTGCTAAAACTGTTTGGAGAGTCCTGGTGTGGTGCTATAAGAAAAGCACTGGATTGCTAGCTGCAAAGTCAGCAGTTGAAACTCACCATTCTTCAGAAACCCTATTTAGAGTCACTATGAGTCAGTGCTGACTGGACGTCATTTAACTACTAGGTATTTTGCTTTGATCTGTTGTTTAGAAAATTATATAAATCTCATTTAGTTTCTGTCATATTCTTTTGCATATGAAATACATTTTTCTCTACTAATTCATTCAGCAAATATTCATCAAGCACTCTAATAAGTACTCAGGAGCGAGGTGGCTCCATATGATAAGCGCTTGA